TGATGGGAGCGTGATGAGCTGCTGGTTTAACGAGCGCTGATACCGTCCTGCGCCGCGCTGCCTGCCAGCCTTTTGCAGAAGTCACAGCCCCGGGGAAGCTTTTCCCTTCGTGGCCATGGTGATGATGCTCTCTTTCTGCAGATACCACACAAAGCTGGCTCAGGCCCTCTGTGTCCCTGTGCCTCTTCCATCATTCGATGCGTTTTTTTCCTGTGCTGCTTTTCCGAGGGAGGAGGGGGAATAAAATAAAACCCCACAGTGTTTTCACCTCTGTTCATTTTCTGTCAGTGCCGGCTTGCCTGAGCCCAGCAGCAACGTGCGCTCAGCTTGTGCCGAGTCTGACTGCTGCCTGACTGGGGGTGGGGAGAAAATAACAGGCTCAACATGGAGTGCGCTTGTTTTTTTTAATTAATGCCTTGTGTAGGCAGTGTTAACCAACCTCGTTTCCCCCCGTGGGGGGCTGTTCCCTGCTCCATCAAAGCCAGTGAGGACCTGGTGCTGTAGCTGTTGGTGGGCATCGAGCAGCACTCAGGCTGCGTTTTGGGATGAGGAGAGAAGATATGGGGGGGCCTGGAATGGGGCTTCCTGTTCCTGAACTCCCCCCCTAGAGCTGTGTGGGGTAGGTGGCCTTGCCCCGTGCTCGGGGAAGGTGGGACATGGTGGTGGTGACGTGGTGCCCGTGCCTACGCTGTGCCTGACTGACGGCCTGGGGTCCCCCGTGGTTTTGTCGCGGGGGCGTGGGGCGGGAGCGCTGCCATGCTGCGCTCCTGCGGGCAGTCACCTGCCGCTGCGGGACTCGTTCCCTGTGCCCTGGCGCGGGGACTGGTGCTGCAGCCCCCCGGCAAAATCTGCAGAACGTGACCGGGCTGCGGTTTGAGCCTCGGCGTGTGGAGATGCAGAGGAGGGAGCGGAGAGGGGGAATTTCAGCCTGTGCTGCAGCAGTCACCATGGCAACCGAGCATTCCCTGCCCGATGACGACTGCTCGCAGCCCCGCTGGAGGAGCGCTCGCCGTGCTCGGGGAGCTTGATTCTATGATTCTTACAGCGAAACAAAGGCGATGATGACGGAACCTGTACTTTTCTGGCAGGCACTCGGGCAACTCCGGAATCGAGATGAAGATTTCCTTCAACTGCTGTAGTAGAAATGCCTGGCTGGGTTTCTCAGCCTCGTCTCGGAGGAGATGCCGAGGACGCTGCTGCAGAAGGCAAGCAGAAGGAGTGACCTCGCACTTCGACAACGGCTTTATTTCAGCAGCTCCAAAAAGAAAATCACTCTGAGGGTCGTTCGGCTGAAGGTCAACCCTGGCAGCTCACGTCACCCAGAACTGGCATACAGATATCTTGACTAACGTGCTAACAGAATCACAGAATCACAGAAGAGTAGGGGTTGGAAGGGACCTCTGTGGGTCATCTAGTCCAACCCTCCTGCCCAAGCAGGGTCACCTACAGCAGGCTGCACAGGACCTTGTCCAGGCGGGGCTGGAATATCTCCAGAGAAGGAGACTCCACAACCTCCCTGGGCAGCCTGGGCCAGGGCTCCGTCACCCTCAGAGGGAAGAAGTTCTTCCTCATGTTCAGACGGCACTTCCTCTGCTTCAGTTTGTGCCCATTGCCCCTTGTCCTGTCGCTGGGCACCACTGAAAAGAGTCTGGCCCCATCCTCCTGACACCCACCCTTGAGATATTTGTAAGTATATGTTAGGTCCCCTCGCAGCCTTCTCTTCTTCAGGCTGAACAAGCCCAGCTCCTTCAGCCTCACCTCGTAGGAGAGGTGTTCCAGTCCTCTCACCATCCTGGTAGCCCTCTGCTGGACTCTCTCCAGTAGCTCTTCATCTTTCTTGAACTGGGGAGCCCAGAACTGGACAGAGTACTCCAGATGAAGCGCTGGCTCACCTTGCTGCTGAAGCTGTGTGCGACCAAGACTCCACTGGGGATGGGAGGTCTCCTGTGGCCGCCTGTCTCTGAAAGCAAGGGAATTCAGCCAGGCTCACTGGCCTTCCTCTCCTGCCCCTTCCAAGACCCTCTGTGCACCCACCAGGACTGTTCTGTTCAAGCAACAGCTGACTCCTCCTGTAGTCACAGAGTTCCACTGCAGCACGTAGTGCCCAGCTGGGCAGAAGAAGTAAACAGCGACAAAGCAAAACCCTAGCACGATATCTGTGCGCCGAGCTAAAAGGTTACACATGACTAAAGAGATCTTCTTTTCCTTTCCTTTGGTTTCTTAGCCATTCACACTGTGGTAGAGGAAAGTGACTTTATTTGTATAAAGCCATAAGCAAACACAACATGGAACATCATATGTTACCTGCATTATAGCAATTAAAAAAGTTGCCTAAATGTTGCCTGTCTGAAAATTTAGGCTCTTTTAGCAGAGCAGGTAGCTGCCTCTCTGAGCAGCTGCTCTTTGGTTTACTACGCAGCTGTTTTTAATGTGCGGGTTCACTTGCTGTCTCCTGGTTTTCTGTTTGTGCTGCCGCTCACCGGAACGGTACCTGAACGCTGTGGTATTGCGGCGTCTGGGCCCGCGCGGAGGAGCGCGTTGCGGTGTGGAGGCAGAGCAGGCGTCCAGCTGCACAGCTGCGGCGCGGCATTGCTTCTCTTGCCCCCCTTGGTGAAAAAGTCCTGAGGCAAAAGCATGAAGGTTCCATTCCGTACACTTTGGCCTAGACAAGCTTTTCCAAAACACAGTTGTATCTGTATTGCATGACCTTCTGTTTTTTCCGGTGCTTCCACAGGGCGCGGGCCGCCTTGCGTGAGCAGGTCTGTTTGTAGTGCTCCTGGCATGGGGAGAGGGAATGGCTGCTCTTACAGTTGGGGACTTGGGGCAGAAGGTTGGCTGGGGATCTCTGAATTGCTCTGAGGAAACCAAGGGTTCCAGATAAACCAAGGGTGTCTTTCTGTCTGTCTTTCCTGTGGCCAGGTGCTTCTAGCTGTTCCCAAATCTGATTTTTGTGGTGCTTTGCCCCAGCCCCGCAGTGAAATGGCAGGGTTGTTCGAGGGAGGGTTGACTCTGGCTGGTGACAGCGGTTGCTTCGTGCTGGCTGGGAGGGTTTGTTGGAGGAGAGCGGAGGGGGGACAGGCCCTGCTCTTTCTCCACTGTCACTTTTTGTTTTAGGGAAGCAATGATGAAATGTCGGACAACGAAGAGGAGATTGAGGAGAAATCTGAGAGTGAAGGGAGTGATTATTCCCCCAACAAAAAGAAGAAGAAAAAATTGAAGGACAAGAAGGAGAAAAAGCCAAAACGGAAAAAGAAGGATGAAGAGGAGGATGACAATGAGGATGGAGGTCTAAAGGTACCAAAGATTCCTTTACCCTCAGTGGGTGCTAGAGCATGGGACCTCAGGGTGTGCTGCTCATCTGCAGAGCCATGGTTGTTTACATTAATGATGTCTCTCTGTCAATCTGCAGGAGCCCAAGAGCTCAGCGCAGCTGATGGAAGAATGGGGCCTCGATGATGTAGATTACATGTTCTCAGAAGAAGATTATCATACTCTGACTAATTACAAGGCTTTCAGCCAGTTTCTCAGGTAGGAAACTGTAGGTCTGCACGGAGCCTCGGGTGGTGGTTGAGGTTTGGGTGTTGCTCAGTCAAATGGGTGAAGTTGTGAAGTAAATTCTGCATCGCGAGATCCTGGTTGCTTCTCCCTACCTGACTCAGTCCTCAGGACTCCGTCTTAATTGCAGCATTGGCTGAAAAACGGCTGAAGTGCTTCTCTCTCCTCAGCCCCATTTTTAGTGTGTGCTTATTTGAAATGTTTCATGAGAAAGATTGAGTAACAATAATGAAATTTTGGTTCTACTGGGAGGCATTCAAAACACAACAGGTATTTCAGGGAAAGATGGTCTCTGAGGAAGTTGAAGTGTGCTCCTTTATGTATATCTACTTGTTTAAGAAAGCTCTGGTTTCTGCTGCCTTTCCAGTGAAGCTGCTGCCAGTGGGCCACGGCAGCCTGCTGCTGGGAGGCATGCACTGGTGCGTTCCTTGGGCTGAAGTACCAGCACACGGCGAGCAGGAGCAGACGCACAGTGAAGCGTTCCTGTTAACATGTGGTTTTCCCTCTCCCCTGCCCTGCAGGCCTCTGATTGCCAAGAAGAACCCCAAGATCCCCATGTCCAAGATGATGACCGTGCTCGGTGCCAAGTGGCGAGAGTTCAGTGCCAACAACCCGTTCAAGGGCAGCTCGGCAGCAGCGGCAGCAGCGGCCGTGCCAGCCGCATCTTCAGGCTGATGAAGGTGGGAAAACGTCTCCAGGCAGGAGACATGCTTCAGCACAGCGGGGAGGCGAAGGCAGTGCCAGGGGTGTGTCTGCAGCTCCCGTGTCCCTTGCAGAAGTCCCAGAGGGGGTTGTGTTTTGTGAACCATGGCAGATCACCCTGGCAGCCTCTGGATCTTCTGGACTTTTGGCAGTTTTTGAGCAAATGAATGCTCAGCTTCATTCTTGTATCTTAAATAAGTGATTGGGACCTGTATTTCTATGCCAGCTTCTCTCCTGGGGGTTTCTGCAGGGTTGTAGAGCCCTCCAGAAACCAGCAGTATCCTCAGAGTCCCATGTCCAAGCTGAAGAGGATTCGTAGGTTGGCAAGGGTAGGGTGGAGGTGTGTTGGCAAAGCAGGCGTGGTCTGGCCAGGTGAACGTGCACCGTTTGGCAGTTGAGCAGGGTGCGTTGTCTCTGAGATGGCAAGCTGTTCAGTGGTGGAGAGGTGCTGGCTGCAAGGCCGCAGCTCTTTTTCAGAATAAAGGATTTATTCTACTGGGAGTTGGGTGGAAGGTGACGGTCTTCAAAGCCTGCTTACAAGGACTGAGCCACCCTTATAAATCTGCAGTAGCTCCTCTGGAAAGAGTCTGATCTGTATTGAAAGGGGTCTCCTGCTGTAAACCTTTTCCGATTTCTGACAGCAGATTGGTGCCGCTTTCACCACGCGTGGAAGGGGCCGTGTGAATCGCTGCAGAAGCTGAGCAGCAGTGGGAAAGGGAGGGATCTCCCTTTGCGCCGTGTTCCTTCTTGGGAAGGCTGCTGTTCCTCCTGTGCAGTTGTCAGTGCCCGATGCCTCGACAGGGTTGGATCCAGCGGCTCAGAGCTGGCGGCTGGCCGAGAGCGCAGCTTGCAGCAGCCTTCCCGCGCGGTGGGCGCAGCTTTCCTGCCTCTCCGTCGCCGGCTCTTTTCTCCCCGCCTTGCACACCCCTAAGCCCCTACGCGGTGTTCGCAGCCCTGTGGTCCCTCTCCTGGATCCTGGGGCAGATGCTTTCCTCCCCGATTCTTCACAAGCGCTGAGTCTGAGCTTGCAGCCTTTTGCCCCAAAGGACGTGCTCCGTGGATGGTGCTGGTGGCTGCCCAGCTCCCCGGGGTCCCCAGTGCTTTCTCATCTCTCCTGTAAATCCCAGGGTTAGGGTGGGGGGTGATTTGGGGGACAGTTGTTTGTAGAGTACCAAACAAGTCTTCTGTTTCTCCAGGTCCAGGCGTGCGGAAGAAAATCAAGGGCTCCAAAGATGGGAAGAAAAAGGGGAAGGGGAAAAAGATGGCAGGCCTGAAATTCCGGTTTGGAGGAATCCCCAGCAAAAGGAAAAAGGGCTCCTCCGTAAGTGTGCACCCCCTTTTTCTGCACGGGGCCTTGGGTGCGGGGGGTCGGCAGGGAAATGCCAGGACGAGCCCTGCCCTGGAAGCCTCCCTCGTGAGCGGCGTCACAGCCTCCTTCGTGCCCCGCTGTGAGACGCCCGTCTCCGGTCAGCACGCTCGCTCCTCCCTTGGATGCCGAGCTGTGTCCAGGCTCAGGTTTGTGGAGAGGTGCCTGGGCATGGTTTCTACTGAAATCATATCATCGCGTTTACTTTAATTGGTGAGGTTGGTAATGCCATCATTTCAGATTTCATTTGCAAAGGAATTCCTCAGGGATTGCACTCCAGCTGAACTGCACGCCAAAGAGAATTATCAAATGCTTTAATTGTGTTGGTATAGCCAGCCTCCTGCCATCCACGATCCCGCAGCACAGCCCACGGGCACCAGAGCTTCCCAGTAAGAGCACGGCAGTGGGGATGTGCTGCAGCTTGTGTGCTCAGCTCTTGTCAGGACACGAATATCAGGCGCATTTTAAAGAATAAATCTCTTAAATAGCTGTTGAATAGGGGTGGAACTCTTCTAGGTCTTGGTAATACCGATCAAAATCCCACTAGTTCACCCTTACCAGAGGTCCCTGACTCTTTAGCTCTAGTTCACACAAGTTGTAAATAACTTCGTGCATCAGAGGTTGAAGCGAAAGGAGCAGTCTGAGGCAGCCGCTCGCTGCTGCGTTTTTTCAGTCGCACGTCACAGGAGGTTCATCCCGTCTCCAGGTGCACTCTAGAACTGTGGACTTGTGCATCTGAAAGAGCCTGGGCTTGCTCCTGCAGCTGGAGCGCTAAGCACCAGATTAACAGCATGCAAATTGGGGATTTGCATGCAGAAGTCTCCAGAATAAGAATTCAGATGTTATGTTTTGACGCCGGTGAATGCCGGGCCTGTTTAGCTCCTTCCCCGTTGAAGGAGGTGGAGCGTGAGTGCCTGTGTGCACGCACACAAGCAGGCTGTCACAAGCTGAAACGGGGCCGAGGGAGACAGGGAGCAGTGGAGGAGGGGGGGCCCCTGCCTGCCCAGGGCTGGGAGCAGGGGGTTGTCCCCCCGCACTCTCTGCTTTGGGTGTCTCTGCCCACGACAGCGTTGTCGCAGCAGCGGGGTGTTGC